ACCCTCTGTCCTTTGAGTACCAACCCTTTGAGGCCAGATGGTCTCGCTGTTAGGGTCAGCAGACCTTAGGGCCTCGGGGTGTGTTAATTAATCTTGTCTGGGCAAACTGGAGTTGCAGCTGTCTCTCTGTTTCTTAAGGACCCTATTCACCACCTGCTGACTCACGGAAAGGAGGGGCAGTGTGAATTCTTGGTATCCTGGTATCTCAGGGCCAGAGGTTAGCAAATTCCACCCAGCATTCCAATTATTTTGGGCTTCATTTCATTTCTTTGCTAGTTTAAGTCTTTCATTATTAACTATATGTCTTTTGACTACAACTTTTAAAAAAAAAGTCAATGAACAAAATGTGTTAGTAAAAAAAGCAATTAGGATCTTTTCATAAAATTACGGAGACCCATTTTAACTTTTCTTTATGAGCTCTGGTTTTTAATGTAAGTAAAATTCATCTAAAGTGACAGTGATGATTCTACCGCTTAAACTATTTGTAAGAAATTATTCCAACTTGTAATATTCTCAGATCTTTAGTGTGTTGAAGAAAAATGTATTATATCTTCCAATGTCATAACAAGAGCCATCCAAGTTCTAATCAAGAAAGAAAGAAATCATTTTTTAAAGGTTTTAATGTGTTGTTTTTGAAAGTATTGGGTGGGTCTCTAACTAGGAAGGGTTGGAAGTATTTATGACTTCTTAGGAATCACTCACTTGTTCAGGAATTTTTGGAGACAGCTCATGCTGCTAAACTCACCATGAATTTGCTACCTTCTGCTGTTTGTGTTGTACTTCCTGTGATTACAGGTGTATGCCACTCAGGACTCGAAGGTGTCAATTAACAAAACAACCATCAATTGTAGTCATATTTGCAAATGTTTTATAAATGAGTAACATTTTTTTATAAATTCCAAGAGAAAGATGCTGACATGTTTTATTACACATTTAATGAGACAGTCTTTTATTTCAATTTCATAATCTTTCTCTTGGCTTGCTGACAAGAGCTCTTTTATTTAGGTTAAATATATCTTTTTGTAGGTCCTAAAGAACTCAATAGCCTTGGATCTGGCCTCTCATGCAGATGTACAGGTGGGTGCTGAGTGTTAAAATGGACATACCCGACTAACATTTAACCTGAAATCACTTTGGTGACCACCATCATTTAGATATGGCCATGAAACAGAAGAGGGCATTGCTATTCCTTTGGAGGCAGCTGATTTCGGGTGGCAGGCATGGGTCAGGGATCAGCTGTGTGAGGTGTAGCAGCAGGGAGCTTCCAGGTTCACAGGATCCTGGCCAGTTTTCCAAATGGAGCCAGTGGCCCACTGGCTGTTAAAAATGACACCCAAGCAGGCAACCCCATGAGCCCTGAAGTTTGGTGAACTGGGGTCCAATGAGCCTGTCACTTTGGATGACTCCACAACTAACCATCACTGGGTCCCTCCTTGTGCTCACCTGACCACGTCACTCCACAGGACTGTTACAAATCAGAATGATGCTTCTGTACAGAAGGGCGGGCAGGGATGGTGTGGAAGTTCCCCAGAAACAAGTCAGGGTACAAACACAGGTGCAGTGACTTAAAGGCCGGCCCCCGGGTGGGACTGGTAAGGGATGGAGAAGCTGGGTAGGATGGGGAGATGCCTGGAGAGGGACAGCTCCTGCCTGGTGCATGAGGACTCTAAAGGTGAGTGATGTGCTCCTCCGAGCATGTCCGCCCTGGGCAAGGGGCTGGGCGCTCACACTGCCAAACTGCTCGGCCATTGCTTGAGCCTATCTATCCCCGCGGGACAGTACACCCCAGCCAGCTTCTCTGCCATAGAGATGCTGAGCAGGAGCAGCGAGGCAGGCCTGCCAGGCTCAACTGGGGGCATCACCGTGCCTTCACCCATATTTGAGCCTCAGATTTGGGCCTACTCACCTATGGCTTGATAATTTCCTAAGCTCCGTTGCTTTAATCTGTAAAGTGGGGAAATAGTATCACACTCTGTGACTGAAGATTGAACCTAGTAGTGACAGTTCTGTGCTGGGTTTGGGATGCGCGTGTGCTCTGTGAACAACGGAGGTGTTTTTTGTTGTTGTTGTAATCTCAAGGAAGAGTGTCTAAGGCTGCACCAAGTCCTCCAAAGTGCCAACTCTAAGCATGGCTTTGCACTGCTTAGCTTGGGGATGGGTCTCTGACTGGAAGGGGTTGAACTCATGAAGGTGAGGACCAATTGTTAACGGGAACACATTTTCTTGCCGTGTGTGTGTGTGTGTGTGTGTGTACGCATGTGCGTGCAATTTCCGTGAAAGGAAGAGAGCTATTTTTCAGCCCCTTGCCGTCAGCCCTTGAGTGAAGTCAGCCTGACTAGGGCGGGCACTTTGCCATTGGCCCCGCCCTCTTGAGCTCTTACAGAGGGAGGGCTGTTAGGTGTGTCCCTGGCCGCACACCCAGCAGGTTGCCTCTCTCAAGCCCTGGTCTGTCGGTTATGCTGAGGTCTTTGCCATCCCGCTTTCTGTTGCTCTCAGCCGCTTCAGACTTCACCCAGATCAAAGACACATTCCCCAGTGGCTCCCAATTTCCAACTTTATGTCCTCTGTCGATCTTCTGCCCGTCTCAGAGTCAGTAATTTGGAGGACATAGAGTATGCCCCACTCTGCGAAATGCCCACACCCACACCGAGCCCTTGGTGTGGAACAGGACACATGTAGTTTGTGGAAGGATTTTCATATATTCCTCTAAGGCAAATCAAACCAATAGAAAGGTGAGCAGCTCTCAGTAAGATGAGGAAGGATTTCCCTCTAGGGAAACAAGGGTCCTTCTGAAAGCAGGAAGGACTGTCACCCACACAGCGTACATTAAAGGCAGGCTGTTCCTCTAGGACCTGCAGTAAATATGGGATTTAAACAATTACTCCAAAGTGAAGGGTTTTGTGTAAGTCCCAGGTAGATCTGAAGGAGAGAAGTCTACTTCTTGCCCAGTTTGTAGGTTGCCAGCTGACTTAGCTTCCCCAAGAGGCGAGCGTGGAGACTGCAGCTCCGCAGAGGACACACAAGGTGGCGCAGCAGGCTACACTTGTCCCTGAGTAAGTTCAGAGGGGTCATCCACGGAGCGAAGATGCTATCTGAACACTGTAACTGACGGTCTCATCTTGTTATTGGGGCCAATGTGGTGTAGCAGTTTATTCTAATTCCCATTCCATGTTGCCAAAATAGCATTTTAAAAAGCCATAGACCCCCTATAAAATATCTCCACCAAGACCCGTATTAATTAACACCAGTACTGATAAATACCAAATCATTATGCATGGCAGTCAGATAGTGGCGACCACACACAGAAAGGACAACTATTTCTTTCTTAAATTTACTTAAAGGATTAGAGCTGACATAGTAAGACACTGGTGGTAGAGTCAACATAAAAATGATCACTTTGGTTATACTGATCGCATGCAACTCACTACAGAGGTAATACACGCACAAGCTTTCCAAACGGGGCCGCAGGGGTGGGGGTGGGGTGCTAAAACAGTGGGCAAACCCGAAAAGAACTGCGCTCGCATGAAGTTCAGCTAAGGGCAAAGACAGGAAAAGGAGCCATACCTAACGCCTACTGCCGCACGGCGCTAGCGCGCTAGCAAAGGGCACTTGCTTTCGGAGTACATTACACACAACAGTAAGGCTAGTTTTCAAATACTCGCCTCTGTAACATCCCTGCTTCTAACACATCACGTCTCACTGTTCATGAATAGCACTTGCAGCCTCCAGTTCCTGCCATGATGGTGGAAGCAGGACTAAAAACTCTATCGAACCAGCCTAGTGCACTTCACCCAGATCCAGCTACAGTATTGACAGCTGGTTAATAAGAAACCAACCACTTGGCGGCGCGTACGAGGGGCAAAAACCCTGAAAGGTATAGAACAAGTGACTATCACCCCAGCACTCAACCTGGAGCTATTGTTTCCTTTTTATCTTTGATGCGGTGAGCACATGCTAATCTACGTGTGACTGGAAAACAAAACATGAATCCAAGAGAAAATACATCTGGCTTGAGAAAATTTTGTCTTGACATATGAACTGTTGATGAATAACCTGAAAAGATGATGGCACCCGGGCCCCAGAGTAGGTCTGCTAGTTTATTCCTTTGAACTCTGGAGTGTCCCACTTTATGCTAGCCCTAAATAGTTTGACATTTTATGGCTGTGTTTTTTAATTTATAGGAAGACACATTTAAAAAAAACAAACAAACAAAAAAAAAAACCCCAAAAACTAATCTTACCCAGGCAAAATAACCCAACAGTAATACGTGCAAGAGAAAGCTAGCCTAAGTGGTTATTTTTAATAACTGATCTTTACGTTTTTTGCAGTTTAACAGATGGGTTAAAAACTTGCTTTTAAAACAAACTCAGTAACATGGAACAGAAGAGTGAACATAACAGGGCAGTCTCCTGGCTTGTCCTACCTTGTCAGTACACATCTGGAACACACACTGAGGAATCCTATGATTATTAGGTCTAAATTTATGGCACAGTTTTCCTAATTATGTGGGTAGAAAAAAAAAAGACAGCTTTAAAAAATAGGATTTAAGGTCTGAAGGTACCTGAGCTGTCCTGCTTTAAACACGAGCTTTAATAGTGTCTCCATAACCACTTAGCTTGACTGTAAGAACTAGGGCCCCTGGCTGAACTGATAAACACGCGCAGGAGCTCTGCAGAGCTGAATGAGCCGAGTAGACACAATACGCAGGGGATTGTACTCCTCCTGCTGCTGCCTGTGATGTGTTCTTCAATAACCACTCGGACTTTCAAAGGGCTCAGATGTTGTGTTAAGTGGGTAAAAGGTTGAAGTTCTAAGTTTTGTAACAGTGGTTAGGATTACTCCTTTATGAGATGCTGGTAGGATGTGTAACTTAAGACTTTCCATTCTCTCTGAATCCTGAGGCACCTACATTGGAAGCAGTGCATTAGTTTTGGCCACAAGAGAGGCTGTTTTCTGGTGTGCCTTAAATTACACCTTTACACACGAAAGAATTGAAGAGCAACTACACAACTAGCTTTATTACATTGGTTTTACATAAAGAAGCCAGATTAGTTTCTTTGCCTACCTAAAACACATGCATCCAGATTATTCTAGAACATGCTATAGAAAAGTCTGTATTTAAGACGGAGTTCATGATTGGTTTTTCTCTCTGAGGACAAAACTGATCCATTATATACTCCTTGAACGAGTCTTCACGCGGCTCCACACAACCATCTCCATTGGTGGGGGCACTGGCTCACTGGGACGTTTTCTGAATGGGAGTCGACATGGAAACTTGTTTTAGTGAGCCCCCCCCTTCATGGTCTCTCACGCTCATTCATGAACTCAACACTGGGTACCTGCCCCTGCCCCGGTGCAGACTCACACTACAAAGTTCCCAGTACCACTATCTGATAGGAAGGTCTACAGCTAAACACGGACACAGCAACCCGACTACACTGTCTTCTGTGAGAAAATGGAAAATTTTAGCAAGTGTTAATCTCTTGACATACATACATAGAAAATTAGTCCCGAGCGGACCAGGCTTTGATGTCTAGCTGAAGGGTGGCGATGCATCGCATGTAGTGTGAACTCTGGTCTTTGACCGCACCTGACCTCTCCCAGCCTGACTTTCATCTACTTCCAATTCTGCCATTTTCCCAGTTTCAGATCGGTTTTGCCAAGTGGGCAACTGAATATATGAGGACAAAAATGTCTATGTCTCACGAGGATTATACATGAGAAAGAACTCAGAAAGTATTAGCTATTATAAAAATATAAATGATAATATATATCTGCAAGTCTAATATAACACCATCTGAGAGTAAAAAGTGAAGCCACACCCACCCCATGAGTATCGCTCCTTCTTAGCCTTCTGTTTGGTATCGCTAGAAGTATTTCAGTGTGCGCATGCTCTGAAACTCCAGAGCTTTTCCGGTGAGCACACTTAGTGGTAACCGGCCACTTCTAGCTTTAGCCCCTGCCTCCATGTCACACTGGAAAGTCAGGTACAAATATGTTAACGGCTTTGGTACTAAACCCCAGATACCTGGACTGTTCCTTAACAGAGCGCCCAGGACTAGGTTTAAGACACTCCTAAGTCACATGTAAAACTCTACCTCAGAAATGGCAGATATTAAAATACCATCTTTTGTTGGGTGTGGCAGCACAAACCCAAAGTCCCAGATCCTCAGGAAGCTGGGACAGGAGGATCACTTGAGCCTAAACAGAATGAGATGTGTGGGTGGGTAGCTCAGTGGTAAAGTGAATGTCCAGCATGTGCAAGGCCATGGGTTCAATTCCCACCCAGCAAACTTTACAAAACCCTTAAGGCTTCTTCAGCTCCGTAGTATAACACGGACCTCCACCAGGGTGGTCGCTGAGATCTCTGTTTACTCTGGGATGATGCTTGTGGCTGGGGCAAATGTTCCCTTCAACAAACACCTCTTTACTGTTCTTGAAAATAAAACAAGGTGGAGTCAGTTAAAACAGCTTCAAGCTGAAGACATGCTGTATAAAGTGCTTCTTATCCAGCCTGCGGGGTCATCTGTCCCGGTGTTTGTGTGTGTTCAGAAAACACAGCTTAAACAGCAATTTTTAAATGCTTGACATAGTTTCCAGTGTTCATTGCTGGCCCCGTCAGCGCCCTCTACAGGTTTTGAAAGAGGTTATCAATAATAACCAGATTTCTGTGAGGTCTGGGTAATGTTAAGAAAATGGGAACATCTACATTGCTCATTTTTAAATTTCATCCTTTTTTTCTAACAACTAGCAACACTGATAAAAACAGCTGGGAGGAAGCGAACACTCTCTAACTGCTAGAACCAGAAATGAACCCACCCTCACTATTTTGCCAGATGACAAAGTCTGAACACTCTGCCCTACAGTCCTTTTCAATGATGCTACTGGCTGAGGAGGGCCTTGAACTTTGCACCTGGCATCTGGATGACTGATGTCATTAAAACCAGCACTGCTGTACTACACCACAGCTCTGTGAATTCCCTTTTCTACGTGACAAAAGCTTTGCAAATCTCAGGCACTTTTTCTTCAGTGCAGACATCTAAACAGCAGGAGCCCTTCAGCTATCTCGAGGGCAGGGTCAGCTCATGTAGTGTCAGAAGGAGGGGCCGGGACACTCTGCAGCCGAGAGGCCCGGTTGGGACTTTGTCCTTAAGGGCAGTGACAATCTTCAGGGAGGGAAGATGATTTTTCCTCTACAGGTCCCGCCGAAGGTCTGCAGGACCCAGAACGTCACTGCGGCATGTAGCCACCCTGTCTCACAGTCTGTGGCAAGTAACTTTTAGGGATTTCTTCATCCATTGGAGTCTGCATTCCAACCGATTCAAACTGCTCTACTTGGCCGCCAGTCCCTGCGCCAAGAGCGCCTGCGGGAGGGCCCTGCTGAAACAGCCTCTGCTGCTCTGACCCACAGGGCTGGGAGATGTGATCTGAAACCTGCTGCTGTTTCAGTCTGACAAAATCTTCCTCACTGCCTGATGACACTTGGTTTGACCTTTCAAAATGCGAACTGTCTGGGCTGGCTTCCGGCTGACCACAGCTCTGTTTGAAATACTGTTGCCTGGGCAAGATCTCATCATTGCTGTCCACGTTGTCTGCCAACTGCAGATCCTCTGGCCGCTCCTCGGAGTCTAACAGGGGCTGGGTGGACTCGGACCTGGAGAAGACTTGCACTGAGGGGACCTGGTGCCTGTAGCCACTGTGCACCACAGTGGAGTACTGGACAGTACTGGCCGTGTTCTGCGCACACTCGGTCTCCTCGCTGCTGGAGATGCTGGGCCTGGAAGACGACAGGCATGAGGACCCCCCGATGCCACTGCTGTGGCCTTCTGTGCTTATTTTTTCCTTCTTGAACAGGTCCAATGACTTCAGGTCATCTGGACATGGCTTTCTGTTGTCTGCTTCTATTTCCACAACGCTCACATCAGTGAAATTGCCATCTGAATACATTTGATCTTTGGAGCTAAAATTGTGCTAGAAAAGAAGAAAAATGAATGATTACTTTGGGCATATTCCAACTTTGTGACCGCTGAGCCATCTCTCCAGGCCCTCTATTGTTCTAAGAGTTAAGAGTTGGCGCAGCTTTGAAACTTTTCAGTGACTTTCAGGGTGGAACCAACCCTCTCAGCAAGTCTCTGTAACCAGTAAGCAAGTGGACAGCCAAACAAGTTTGAATCAGTCTGTATGTAAAATTTCCAAATCAGTACTGCTGTAAGCTACAAATAGGTTATAAATAGTACTAAATATTTCATATTTACAGTACGCCTAGAATTAAATAAGACCAAAAAAAAAAAAAACACCTCAGAAATACTGGGGGATAATGGAGGACTGCCCTGTAGGCTGTGCGCTCAGAGTGAAGTCTAGTACAGTTCTCAGAACTCATCTGCGCAGTGTGAAGATGGCAGAGTGTTAGCCAGCTCTTAATTAACATCCAGTCCCAGATCCCTGTATAGCATGTTCTCAGATTCCATTTTCAACAGTCTGTGTTGAGTTTACAGAACAGGGTAAGGGGCGCTGGCACAAACATGCTGTGGTAACCACTGTGTGAGGATTGCTCATGATTCTGACAGCTGCTATTTGAGAACTAGTTTATTTTCACCAGGTATGAGTATCTTTTGATTAAACTCCACAAACATCCTAATAAATAAGCCTAGACACTAGAAACAATTAGAAGACAGTCTCTTACCCTTGGGGGAGTGTGAGGTGACCACTGAGCAATATGACTCTTTGAAGGATCTGGAACATTAGGCCAGATATGTTTTTTAATTCTGAAGAGAAAAGAAGCAAGGCATATGTAAAATCACATGTAACAATGAGAAGCTTTTTTTCTGTCAACCAACAAAAATAATCTGTTAACCTAAAGCCAAAAAGGATACTGCTAAAAAGACAAATAGATTGTTTGTATTCCTAATGGAAAATGGTTAACAATATTCAATTAAAAAAAATCTCTTGATTAGATTCTCTAATAAAATCAATTAAGAACTTTAAGTCTTAGATGTTATGATGTGTCCCATCAGAAACAAATGCAAAGACATTTAACTTTCAGTTAAAAATATCCAGTCAGAAAATAAAGATGGTTTGCTGTAAAATATTGTGCAGCAGACACAAAGTGACAGTGGTAACGCACTCAGAAGCCAGAACAGGCTCCATTCAAGACTGGCCTATGGAAAACCCAATCTCAAAACATAGACATTAAAAAAGAATAAACATAGTTTTGGGGAACAGAAATGAGAGTCTAGAAGTAACTATGAACTTACAGAAACAACTGATTTTTGGCAGAGGAACAAATACATTTACTTGAAAAGAGAGCTATTGTCAAAATCAGCAGAACTAGATTTGGGGAGAGGGACCTAACTCTGACCCATAGCATGCCCCATAGCATGTTCAGATGGACAACAGATGCTAAAGAGCTAAAAACTCTCTAAAAAAAAAGAACTAGTGAACTTCTAGTAGAAAACATACGACACTGGGTTAGACAGATTTATTTAAAAGGTTACAAAATACAAGAATCAGAAGAAAAAGGAACTTCAAAATTAAAAACTTCTGCTTTCCAAAAGTCAGAGTTAAACAAACTTCACGAACTGGGACAAAATTTGCAAAACATGTATTTGTCAAAAATTTTTGTTCTCGAACAAAAAGAATATTTATAATTCAGTATTTGCAAAACAACCTAACTTAAAATTGGACAAGACTTCAACAGACACACCATCATCAAGCGAGGTGACACATGAAGAGAGTCGGGAAAATGGATTTGAAACAGTGAGTACTCTGCTCACCCCCACTCTCAGAACAACCAAGCGAGCGCCCCAGCACCAAGTGCTGGTCATGCTGGCCGCGTGGGGGTGGCGGGACGCCGAGGGAGCGTGGGGCTGGCCGCGTGGGGGTGTAGGGACACGTGGGGCTGTTTCTTTATCTTCTTGTGGTGCTGGAATTGCACTTGGAGCCTTGCACGTGTCATCTGAATGCTCTACTACAGAGCTACATGCCTGGTTCCAGCAGCTTCTTATGAAGTTTAAGTAGTTATCTGAGATCCGTGAAAACATGTGCCCATACGGAGCTTGGAATGTGGACATTCATAGCAGTAGGACACTAGGCAAGCGTTAGGGACCTCTAACTCCCTTACACACCACACGACAGAACATGATGTAGCAGCAGCACTGAGGAGAAGAATTAGATAACAGCATGCATGAGCATGCGTGAGTGAGACACAGCAGACTGCGAACCACCTGGCCCCATGCACAGGGCAGTCTGTGTGAGACAGCGGCTGGGAGGGCAGGCTAGCGATGAGCGAGGAAGCTTTGCAGGGGTGGGGATGCATGGCGGGGATGCCTCTGTGCACAATCAATTCAACTGTGATCTTCAGACAGTGACATACTGTTATGTGAGTAAACTGCAGCTCAAAATGTGACAGCCGGTACTTACAGGTCTCGCTTATTAAAGCAGAACAAGACGCCCAGCAGAGTTGTCAAGAGGAATGCTAAGCACACAGGCACCACTATGGCTTCTATTTCTCCTTGAGCTAAAAACCAAAGGGTAAAGGAGAAGAAACTGTTAACACGTGCAGAAAGGGAAGAACGTATGTCCTCATTGGGCGCTGCCTGATTTTCTGTTTATGGAGCCCGTATCTCACAGTGTACCCAGACTGACCTGGGCTCACTAGGGAACCCACCCAGCCTCCCGTCTGTCCTCCAAGTGCCTGCACTGCAGATTATCAACAAAGCCAACACTCCTTCAGCCCGCCTGTTGGTTTTCGGGTTGGGGGTAGCCTTTCTCCCTCTCTCTGTCCATGTTAATCCCAGCCACTTGTCCTTACGCTGCACACCGGGCTATACAAAAGCAAGGAATACACACTGGGGGAGAATTGGCTCAGCTTCCTGGGAACGATTATCAGCATGCTGAGCATCTACTGTACGTAGGCCACAGAATTTAAGGAGGGATGCTCACGAGGCACCAAGGTGGCTCTAGTAGACAATCGCTAAAGAGCAGGAAAGTTGAGTGGGCACAGTGGTGACAACTTAGGTATAACTGCTCTCATAACTGCTGTTAAGCCAAGCTCTGCATCTCTCATGTGCCTGTCCTGAGCCCATGCATGCTGTCTCCAGACACTTCTTCATCCTACTTTCTACATCGAGTCTACAGCTTTGTCTTCTCCAAGAACCTTCTTTAAAGGTGAAACACCCTCTGCTGATGGGTTTAGACTTGTATTGCTTACGAGTTAAACTTCCCAAATAGCTCTGTTTTAACCACTCGAGGAAACTTCCCAAATAGCTCTGTTTTAATTACTTTTGGCAGTATCTCTCAACTAAGCGAAAGTCTTTTGGGGCAAGATTCCCATGCCATTTGAGGAAGTTGTAAAGGAAACTGTAGCTAGGTAACCACCATCAGAATAACATCAAATTATAGTTTCAGTATTACTGATCCATTTAAAAAATGTAAATAGAGAAGAAACAAATCTAGGTTATTTTTGAGAATGGAATTTGAGTAAATTCCTATTCCCTTTTATACTGTATTGTAAAAATTTTCTATACTGAGTATGACTTTTGCAGCTAGGGAAATACTTCTAAGGTTTTACTAATTATTTTTCAGTGTTTGTTTCAAGTATTAAGTGTTATGGATTTATTAACATGTCATTACATGGGATCTCATTTCAGAAACTACATTAATTTTTCCCTTGTAGGAAACATCAGGATTTTATGTAATCACACTCATACATTATCTTTACATTCAACCCACAATGAACATGGACATTACTATAGACCATTCCCCTGGCGGCATTTGGAGAATTATAAATACAATAAAATAAGAGAAAGTCTATAATGATTCAAAAAAGAATGTATTGTAAACCTTCAGGAAGGCTACAGAAAAGCCAAAACAGATGTAACCCAGGACGGTCCACTTAGACAGGATGAGGGTAAGACAGCAATGAACCTCTGGTCAAAGGGGCAAGCTGATTAACAACAGGGGACAAAGCACAAGCAACCCAACTTTCTTAGATTTTGGGAGGGAGAAATGGTTTTCACAAATAGCTGGACGGTTGTGGCAGGGAGAAGGTAGCTGAACCCATGTAGGGAGTCTAAATGGGCACAGAAGGAAATTGGACCAATAACAGAGCTCTGCAGAATCCAGAACTTGAGAAGGTGCAGTGCAGGCAGGAAAACAAAAGCATGGCTGTAAGAACCAGGGACACCAGGGACTTAAAGCATGCAACGGCCAACAGATTCCCAGCCAAGATCAGAAAAACAGGTCAAGCTAAAGTCAGCACTGGCTAGGATTGGCTGGCTAGGACCGGGTGGTCGATAAGTAGCGGCACAGGCAGTCTCCCTAGGAGCAGTAGGGCTGGGAACCGACTTCAGCAGGACAGTCAATGGGCCAGACTAGTTTCTTAAGCAGTGTGTCTGTAAGCAGAAGGATCGGGTGTAGGAAAGATGGACAGCTGACACAAACCACCCCGTGAATAAGGGAACCCACAGAGAATGGTCAGTAAGCTCCTGGGATTTACAGTACAGGTGGCTCAGCCACCACAGTTAAGCAGGCTCCAAAGTGGGGGGAAACGTACAGAGCAGCAACCTAAACCAGATGAACAACATAAGCGTCCTAACGTCTCCACTCCACTCTGTGAATCTCACCCGGCCCCACACAGCCAGGGCTTTGACGCTGTTAAGCACTCTACCACTGGACGGCGTCTCCATCTTCCAACGGTGCACTTTCAAACAACATTTTAGCACAGAAAATCCGTTTCTAGCTGAATTAAAACATATAAACCGTCATGACTTCTTACCAAACTTGGGTGTTGTGAACGTGAACTCTGGGCCGTCTTTTCCGCCTTCATCTGTGTACGCTGCCATTCGTACCAAGTACAACGTATCGCTACTCAAAGGGGACAGTGTGTACTCCGTGTGCGAAGAATCCACGTTCACAACTGGAAGGAAAAATGCTTCTTTTAGCCAATGTTTTTTATCTATTTGTCATATATTTGACATATATATTATGAAGTATTCAAGAGGAATAAAAATATTTTCCCAGCAAACATTTATAACTAAAAACTCTTTAAGGACAAAACAATATATATTTAAAGCTTAAAAGTGCAAAATCAGTTACTCTGTATGTGTGTGCGTGCGTGAGAGGGGGGGTGGGAGAGAAAGAGGGAGAGAGAGAGAGAGAGAGAGAGGGTCAGAGAACAACTTTTGAGAATTAATAATTAATATCCTCACTTTGCTCCCCTCACCCTCCACCATGTGAGGCTGGGGTTGAACTGAGGTCATTAGGTTTGGTGGCAAGTGCCTTTGCCTGCTAAGCCACACTATCAGTATTTCAAAAACCAGAGTCATAAACACAACTGAAACAGACATTTGCAAGTGTCTGCTAAGGATGCTATATAGTACAAGACACATTATACGAGAAACTAGTATCTAAAAGCTTAAGAAAAAGTTTTAGTAACATATTCTTAGTAATTATTACAATTTTATTACCAATTTCATTTCCAAAAATGGTTCTATAAGATATAGAGTAGTTTCTAATAAATCCATTCTGGTCATCAACAGGAAGTTGGTCCCATTCTAAGACAGCCTCATTTTTCCCCACTTTCTTTGTCCGAACAGTAGGTCCTCTAGAAGGTGCTGGAAGACAGTAAATGCATCTGGTAACCGGAAAGCATTACAATTTAGGAAATAACACGTTAGTGAAAAGTCTGTTAATACAATTATTTGAACATTCTTATTTAAAAGTGATCAAATGGTTTTGTTCATGTTAAAAGCATTTTTTCAAAGCAAGTAAGGGCGGACTCACCGGCTTGCTTAAGGTAGGCCTTTACCGACTCAGAGCTCCCAGGCCCACTGGTAAACGCCGGTGTCACAGTGATCAAATAGCATTTGCTCTCCAGGAGGCTTCCTACAAGAACAGAAAAAGTAAAATTTCCCTCCCAAATGAGGAATGATTTTTACCTTATAATTTATGACTACTTAATTTTCCTTTCTTCTAAAACTGCAGTTTTATATATAAAATTGTCTTGTATACCAAATGAAAACTTAAAATAATGAATGTTGGCTGTGAAAGCCTAGCATTCTAATGGTAGGGGAGGGAGGACGATAATGAGCTGGGAGCTATTCTGGGCCAGAAAAACAAAACCTAAAAGGCTACTTTTATTGCCAATACAATGAACCGAAAAGTATAAAAAATATTTATGCTGTTAATAAAAGTAGAGTGTCTTTATGTTCAGGACAGCTTAGGTATTTTGGCCGCTTTTGAGACCTGCCCAGGTGCCCACAGTAAGACAGTAATACCATGGGACAAGCACCATTGCACAGCTGTGGGAGCCCAGGGGTGTCAGGAAAACAACCAAGGGTACTTCTTGAATGCAGTACTTGGTTTATTTCTAACCCTTCCAAGGGATCAAAGTAGTTTTAGCAGGTAACTAAAGTATGGGTTAGCGGGCAACAGTTAAAATGGTCTTTTATAAAACATGTCTCAATCATTCCAGAAAATAAGGTGGTTATTACACTGTTTATACCTTCAACATGAATTTCTATTCCCCTCACTAACATCCATAGAATTATACAAACCTTTGTCTTCCTAAGAAGAGCAACTTTCCCTTTTCTCAATACTATCACCAAAAAGTGAGCTACTTCTAAATGTTGCTCTAACAACGATGCTTCCAGGGTACTGGGTCCTGAACCCTTGTCTCTGGATGACCCCATGCTCTCTTTTTTTAAAATTATTACTGTTTTTTGAGCCAGGGTTTCTCTGTGTAGCTTTGGAGCCTGTCCTGGAACTAGCTCTTGTAGGTCAGGCTGGCCTCGAACTCAGAGATCCACCTGCTGCTGCCTCTCAAGTGCTGGGATTAAAGGCGTGCCACCACCGCCTGGCTGACCCTATACTCTTTAAGCTCCATGGTTTTTATATGGTAAGGCTGTGTGTGTGTGTGTGTGTGTGTGTGTGTGTGTGTGTGTGTGTGTGTATATATATATATATATATATTTTTTTTTTTTCAAGCTTGTTAACACTGAAGAGCAGGTTGGTAAGAGGCAAACATGCCACTTTACAAGTACCCGTGGTTTACAGCAGCCACCCCTGCCTGCCTATGACTCTGATGGTCGCCCTTCTTTATGAAAGGAAACACGTGGCGTGCTCTGTTTCACTAAAAGCTATTCTATGACTCCATAACCACATAGGCAGTGCTGCAATCATACAGCTGTAGGTAGCAGGTGCAGTCACACAGCAGTGCTTTTAGAACCTGTGATACCATTACTACTCTATGGTAGAACTGGAAAGCACAGGGAAGCCTGTGTTCGGGTTGGACTCCCTGTACTCGATGGCCCTATGAACTGGGGAATTATGTTATATCTGGAGTATTATTAGGGAGTTAGCTGAGTTGAGCACAGGTAACAACCAAACAGGCAGTGAGGGCTGGAGTTGATTCTCCACTAGTTTTGTGATTGTCTAGAAAAGCATTAGCCTTTTCTCCACACAGAGACCCTACAGCTCAGAGGCTAAGTGTTCAGTGTAACTCGCCAGGAGTCACACATCTAATCTCTACCGCGGCTCTAAGTCTTTTCAGTGGCTCACGACACCTACAAACCAAAAAGAAGGACAAAAGCATGCAAAGACAGCTGTGTCAGGGAGCCGGACAGAAGGCGAGCAGTTAGGGAGGTGTACCTCTTAAGTAGGCCTGTGTCACACTACCACCTTCTTGCTGCCAGTCTGGGACACAGGGTGAGTTATCTGACAGCACACACCACTCGATAATGTACTTCTTCACAGGTTTATGTGGAGCAGTCCATTCTACCCAGAGCTTATTATCTTTCGGGAAAGCTTTAAGATCCACTACAGGGTGAGAAGCTTTAAGACAAAGTTGAATGTGGATAAAATCAGTTAACATTCACAGATCTGATATTTCAATATTTTACTGTCATATCCAAAGCACGTGGCTTATAAACCTCCAAAGTAAAAACACTCACACATAGATAGTTCATTTTTATACGCAAATTCTTTTCCCCAAATCTTCAAAGGCTTTGTGTATTTAAGTTTAAACTGTGTCTTTGTCCTTAACAGACAGAGATAAACAATATGTTTATGGCACATGCAGAGGCAGTTCTGAGAACCTTGAAACGTATTTCAAACAAACCAAACCAACCAACCAACCAACCAACCAACCAACCAACCAACCAACGGGAAGCACTTGAAGAGTTGGCCGAACTTCCTAAGCCCTGATGGATGGGTCCCGCTGATCTGAGCACAGAGCCGCCTCTCTATGCTGCTTTGTGGATCCCCCTGTCCACACTTAACCCCGACACCCACACGTGAGGCCCCACTTACACACACCTTTGAAGTGCGAGCTGGGGATGGTGAGGACAGCCGCATCTGATTTGCCAACCATATTTCTTGCTGCTAGAGATGCTATATAGTGATTATTTGTGAGATTTACTATCAATTCTGTACCATTAGTGGTGTAATTTTGTGAAAATGATTTCCACTGTGTAAGAATCACTTCATAATCCAAGATTTTTCCATTGGCTTCAGAAAGAGGCAATTCCTATAATAAAATATTACCAAAAATTATTTTATGGATCCTCAATAATCATTTTTTTACATCCACAAATTCTGCCAGTATGTGAAACCTGTAAATATTTAACTGGAAGGAAAAAGCAAACTCATTATAAAGAAGGCTAGTTTATGTTTATGTGTACTAATGTTTGGCCTGCATGTCTGCACGTGTACTGTATGCATGGTTGGTGCTAGATCCCCTGACCTGGACTTACAGACAGCTGTGAGCTGCCCTGTGGGCACTAGAAACCAGACCTGGGTCCTCTGGAAGAGCAAGCAGTGCTCATATGCTGAGCTGTCTCTTCAGCCTGAGCTCACTTAGATTTAGTACTACTCACTAAGAAGGAATATAGACAAACAGAATTTAGTACTACTCACTAAGAAGGAATATAGACAAACAGAATTTAGTACTACTCACTAAGAAGGAATATAGACAAACAGGAAACCCTTAACTGAACCGGGGCTGTGGCACAGCCGAGCTCCTGGGTCTGTGCTGTTCTGCACAGCTGAGATGCTAGTCCACATTATCTAAGCTTCGGCATTTTCCCCTTGTAAAGTATGACCTATTGAATCAACATATGCATGGCCTCAGCAGCCCACACTCTGCCGTTTGCAAGCCTCTTTCAGTTTCCTCCTAAGAGGCTCCCTAGTGAGTTCAGAGAAACTCAGAACACAGGCCTTGCTCTACAGAGGTACACTTTCACAGACTGCTGAACTCCCACGTGAGGGGTCAGCTAAGTCACTCAACCTGGTTGGCTTCATCAGCTTGCATAAGATTTTGCATTTCTATACAGTAACATTACTAAATGCCTGGAGGAAATTAAGATGCACAGAATAAAAATTTAAATGTTAAAAAACTTAAAATAACATTTAAATGCATTTACATAGAATAACAGTAAAAATCTTTTTGTTTGTTTTTTAAGTTTTTTACCTTCCATATGAGCCTTGCAGATCTAGATTCCTGGGTATGGGATGGATTTATCTTATACCAGAAACTTGGTGGATTGGATGGTCCTAAAGAAAACACAAACTTCATATAATAAAATGCTTTTATCTTAACAATACAGTAAAATTCTGAAGTGATTCTCTTTGTTCTTAATGGTCTGGTCCTTCAGCCACAATATTTGTCTTTCCAGCAGCAGGCCCACTGGTACAAGGTATTTGGGTCTTTCATTAGGCAGGTGACGGCTGGTAATCTAGATTCCTGAACAGCTGTACCATGGTGTTTGGCAGTGGATTACAGTGGAATTCTTTCATCTCACTGCTATAGACATAGAAGTATATGCTAGTAAACAGACAAGAGGACATCGCTACTGTTTGCAAGCTTTCTTCTGCGCAGACGCTCACCCTCCCCTCTCGAAGCAGCCTCCTAGGTTCTCTAGCCTTCCCTTTGCCTGTTCTAATGGCTCCTTCATGGCCAGCAAACCCACTACTTTATGCAAATGTGTGCAACTCTCTCACTCTCTTGATTCATGTATCTTCATGGTTTTAACAGTAGTTCTTTCTTGAAAAGCAAATGGGATCCTGTGCCTGGCCAAGCTGGGCCTGAAGCTGTGACGTTCCAACCTGCTTCTCAGATAGCTATGATTCCAAGAACATGCCATCATACCTAATTTAATAGATCTTGGCAATCACTTCATAGTACTGATTTAAAAAAAAAAAAAAAAAAGCTTCATCTGATGGTTTGTAAGGTTTTGGCTCTGAGAACTCTGAATGCACACTTAACTGGATGTTGCTTACATTCTGAGGTGTTTCATGAACATGAACAAATGGACCCACAACCCTCTAAAAACCACTTTAAGAATTCCCACTTAGCAAGCCTGTGTTACAGAGTAGGAATTACCCTGCAAGGTATAAAAAAAAAAAAAAAAAAAAAAAAAAAAAATCCAGCAAGCCAAAGGAGCTTAGTTATTTGACTGAACATTTTCACATTGGCCATAGCAAGACTGCTTTCTTCACTGTGCTTATGAGAACAACAGAAAACCCTTATAAAACAAACGAGGGGACTCTCCTGCCTGACACTCAGTTCACACAGTGACCTAACCCTCCAGCAAGACGGTGTGAAGGGATGGGGTTTGAGAGCTAAGGGGCTGTTAGGAGAAGAGTCTCTGCCAAAGGATCGCTTCTTGGTGCCCACACAGGAGAGCAGTAATGCTAGCAGCTCTGTGAAGAGAGTCTTATGTAGATGAAGTTTCTGTCCCACTCTCTATGGTTAGCTAGTGGCAAGGTCATTCTCTGACCTTCAGACAGGCTTTATTTGTACAAGGTATCACCAGTCTTATTTCTTCAGATTGTTTTAATTTTATGAGTGTTTTACCTGCATGTAGGTCTAGTATGCACTGCCCATGGAGGCCAGAGCCGTGTGGGGTCCTTTGAGCTGGAGTTACAGATTGTGAGCTGCCATGTGGGTGTCGGAAATTGAACTCCAGGCCTCTAAAAGAGCAACCAGTGCTCTTACTCACTAAGCCATCTCACCAGACCCTGAGAGACCCTTTCTAGACTCTTACACCTTTTTGTGCTTTTGTATTCTGTAGAGCATGTGTAATTATAATGTAATCATGATGAAAAAAGGAAAATTAAAGCAAACCAACCCAAACCCCAAATCAGGCCTTTTCCAAGGTCTTACCAAATGCTGGTAGGAAGAAAAATGCATAACACATATTTTTGACAGTATTTTGTTTTCTGAGACAGGGTCTCACTTGCAGTGAGATATTCCACCTGAACCTGTTGCACTGACCACGCCCATTGGGGGATGGGGACTGGTGAGACATGACCTGGGAGAACCAGGTCTGGGGCTGGACATCTCAGAGTTCTCTCGTTTCCTGGTCGGAGACAAAGAGCATCTAGCGGCATCCTTGGGACAGGAGCCTGCTGGCGGCCATCTGTCTCTGTGGTAAATGATTTCTCCCTGAATACACATCTATCACTCTATCTGTTTTCCCCGACCCTGACTGTGGTAGCCGCCTTTGTCAGGGGAAAGGTGGCCATGTCTAAGCATCAGGTCTTACTGTCTTCGTATGTGATTCCACTTGCTTCCTCACTCCAGTCACTCCAGTAGCCTTTGCCATCTTCCTTGACGGTGCGGATCCTGAACACATACTCTGTAAAAGGTTTAAGGTCCTGAATAGTGAAGGATGTGCGGGGAGACACTGTGTCTTCAAGAGGGACCTGAAAAGAAATCACCGCAGCATCAGCACCAACGCATGAGTTTCCCACACTGAGTACACTAGAAATCAATTAACGTGAGATCAATGAATCAACCTCTACAGAGACAGGAAGGTAAAAATATGACACTCTATAGCTGACATCATCTGTTCTTTCTTTTTTCTATGAGACTGTAACACTCAGATTTTCAACATGAAAGAGATGACATGTGCTTGTAACATCAGGCAGGAGGATTGCCCTAGTGAAGATAGAGCAAGTAGGATTGAAGTAAATCCTATCCCAAAGACCCAAACCAAGCAAACAAAGGAACCAACAAACACAAACTTATATAAGCAAAAACAAAACACTTGAGGGAGGCACAGTAAAAAGACATGGGCAAGCATATATATACTGCAGGAGACACAGTTCATCCTGTTAGGGAAGGCTGTGTCTCCTCCAAATGTCAGCAGAAATAAACCCTTCTTTCTTTAAAATACTTTTGTTAGGTATTATGTCAAAGGAATGAGAATGGTCCATGTACTCCAAATGGCAACTGGCATTTGAATGTCATCCTTCTCAAAGTAAAGTGAATTTCCTTTGCAATGTAGAAAACCTCAGAAGCAAAATAATAGTAATTTAAATGACCTTCATACTATAAGACAGCTTAAATTTTGTTAGAGAAGTCTATTCCCTTGAATTTTACTTACTCTGTTAAGCCACATAGTTCCCATGTTCTAGTGTATTGTATGCTTATGTTTTCAATCTTCATTTTATTATTTTTATATATGATTTGTGTTTACATTCTTGAGCTCGACGGAATCAAGTATTGTTTTTGTTAATAAATAAAATACTTTAGTTTTGTATGTATCAAAACTATGTAAGATGAATCTCTAGTTTTCAGCATATATATAGATACACACACACACACACACACACACACACACACACGAATCTGAGTGGTCAGTATCCTAGGAATTGTACTGTTACCAACTAACTCTATGTCTAAAGGGTCAAAGAGCCTGAATGAGGAGTCAGAGAGGGCGGCACTGATAGGCACAGCCTTAGAGAGACAGCTTACTCCACAGAGGGAAGAAACAAACATGTTCTCAGTCCTATACCTCTTCTTTGCCATCAAGCCCCTTCCATGCACTAACCCATGGGAAGGTAGATGGGAAGGGAGCCTACCCTGACCTCATGCAGGCCAGTATACCATGACAAGAGCTGTGTGGACAAAAAGGATATGCCTTTGCCAGGGGAAAGGTGGCTATCCAACCCCATGAAGGAAATAAAGCAAGGGCTGGCGAGACGGCTCAAATGGTGAAGGTGGCTGCCCCTAGCATAACATGAGTTCTGGGGTCCACACAAAGAAAAGAGAAAATCCCTTCTTTAAGTTGTTATGACTTCCACAAAGAAGTTGTGTTGTGGTATGTATGCGTGCACATGCATACACACAAAAATAGGTAGATAGATGATAGATAATAGACAGATAATACATAAATACATAGATAGATGATAGATAATAGATGATACATAGATAATAGATAGATGATAGGTAATAGATAGATGATACATAGGTAATAGATAGATGATAGGTAATAGATAGATGATACATAGATACATAGATGATAGATAATAGATAGATGACAGATACATAGATAGATGATAGACAGGCAGACAGATAGATAGACAGGTGTTGAAAAGAAAAAAAACTAGAAGCTAGCCTAATAAATAAATTTGTCTTTTATTTGGGTGTGGGGAGATGAAATATACAAAATTACTACTTCTTTCTTCCACTTTTGAGATTTCGATACTGGATACAAAACTAGTTGTTAAGCTTGGTAGGGTTTTTGTTGCACTACTGAATTAAGACTCTATGACATCAATTACAATATATATTGAAGACCTTTAGGCACATGTCCTCTCTACTCCGTTTTGTTGATTGTGACTGTGCTCCAAGCCCATGAGAACTGGAGCAGCAGAAAGTAGTTCCAAGGTTTTGGGCTCAATACCCATATAAGTTCATAACGCAATCACTTTTGCTTTAATTGATTGTAATTAATTGTAATAAGTGGGGTTGCAGCAGAGTAGCCCAGGCAGTCACGACGTGCTGGCGTTGGCATGGGTGCCAGTACTTCCGGTGCTGAGAGCATTAGTTCTGGGCACATCACTCCTTCCCTTCCAATCCTGAAATTCCCATTGACCCTGTACTAGCAGTTGGCAACCTTCCTTCTATCAAGGGCTACAGGGTAAGGATTGTGGGCTGTGGGCCAGAAAAATCTGTTACAACCATACAATTCTTCCACTCTAACCCCCAAAATAAAGACAAGAGACATGCCCCAGTAAAATTTATAAAAGCTGATGGCAGGTTTTAGCCTGCTGTAGCAAAGATGGTCTGCACTATGTATGCCACACCCTGCTCTATTTCATGCTTATTAAAATCTCTGCATCAACCTGCATGCCTTACAGTTCCATCCAAAATGCTCTTCCTAAGACCCTGCATCACTTCCTCAAATGTCACTGTTTCTATTGGCATGGCTGTGAAATGAAATGTTTCACATAGGCAGAAACTTAACACATTGAGAGAAGAGGTAAAACTTATTACTAGCATTAAAAACAAACAAAACAAGCAAACACACAAACAAAAAACACTATTAGAATAAACAGCAACTTTCAATTTACCTGGATCCAATCTGAGGCATCTTTGGTCCTATATTGAATGTCAGATTTCAGTCTTAAAGGAACTGAATTATTCCATGTTAGCTTTAATATACTGGATAATTCCTCTGAGTTGCTCACTGATAAATTATATGGTGGGTTGGGTTTCACTGAAGAATAAAACAAGTCCTAATGTTGGTAATGTTTTACTTTTATAATTTCATATGCAAAGTCAACAAACCATGATCTTCTTTATAAGATTATTCTTACCACATAAAACTTCTTTAGAAATGACACTCGGCTATATGATAGGAAGAGATGCTTAGGAAGCTTTTCCTTGGCTGTTCAGTATATTTGCTAATTTTCAGATGTTGGTATAAAAAATACTGAAAATTTTTTTTACAAATGAAGTCACTGTGATTGCCAATGGTATGAGATATTGGAAAATTGAACGGATACCAAAAGGTAACGCTTGGGGAGGGTCAATTCAATGTTGGACTCAGATATAGAGTCAGTTTTAAACCAGGCTGGGCTACTTGACACCTAGTCTCAAAAAAAAAAAAAAAAAAAAAAAAACAAATAGCAATGATAAAACCTTCTAAAAGCACACTGAAAACGGCTGAGTATGACTGAACAGCTATTTTTCTGTTTCCAAATTACATTTAATAATATATAAAAAGACTATGAAAATTACTATACTAATAATAAACACTTTGACATTAGTTGGAGTCTGAAAAGTAATTTACAAAGCATCAAGTAGCCTGATAAAGTCTCAAATGCAGGCTTTAGGTACCTTTGTCCACGGGGTCGAAATTGATAGCCTCTGATAAGACCTTCCCGAGGGCGTTTTCTGCTTCCACCCAGACTTCAATGTTGACAAAGTAGATAGGAGAAAAGCTAACCAAGCACGAGGTGCCACGCTTGGAGTGACAATCAGCAAACTTCTCTGTTGGCCTAAAAATAAAATTGGAAGAATCAGCCATTAAAAATAAACTTGAAAATATAAAGGTGAAAAAAGTTACTGGAAAAGAGTTGGATATGTCACAAAGTGTTGCAGCTAAGTTTGCAATAAATGTTGGTCACCAAGGTCTTATTTCAACATTTTTATATTTTTGGTTGTGAGCCTAGCCTTTAATGGCTAAGCCATCTCTCCAGCCCATTATTCCTACATTTTTAATCTAAGAGAATTTCATTTTAGAATTTTATGTTATGTCCTTATTGACCCTTCACTAAAAATTATCTATTTCTTATGTGATTTCAGAACAGCAGCCACCTCATCCATAGAGACATGTTTCAGCGTCCCCTGAGGATGCCTGAAACGTTGGGTAATAACCAAATCCTAGGTATACTATGGTTTGGCCTATACATGCTTCACTATGATGGTATTTAATCTCTAAATTACACATGGTAGATGAACAACTCTAACATAACAGCTAAGTGAATGCAGTTTCTCCCTAAGTACTGTATTGTACTCACTTTTTCTTGTCACACTGTAAGACATTGCATAAAAGACTATTTGAGGTGAACGGTATCAGTCCTGAGAGCCCTGACAATAATTCAGAAAGAGGACTGTGGGTTCCAGTAAGAGTGCCCCAGGGCTCATATATTCGAGTGCTTTAGTCATTAGGGAATGGCACCGTTTGAGAATAGGGCTGTGGCCTTGGAGTGTCACTGGGGGGTGGGCTTGGAGGGTTCAGAAGCCCAAGCCAGGCCCAGAGTCTCTCCTGCTGCTGCCTGTGGATCTGGAAGTAGAACCCTGCTGCCTCTCTAGCAGCAGCCTGCCCGCCTGCCCGCCTGCCCGCCCGGCACCGTGCTCCCTGCACGATGTTAATGGACTCAGCTCTGAAACTGTAAGCAAGCCTCCAGTTAAATGTCTTCTTTTATGAGTCACTTGGTCATGGTGTCTGTTCCCAGCAACAGAAACTAACTAAGACAAGGACCATCTTGTTTCAGGTATCCTACATGCAGCCATGATGCCATTTGGGGCAGATTATGTCCATGGTTGGTGATGCCATTGCTGGAAGCTACTAGAAGAACCCTGTATCTAACTCATTAAAGGATTGCTTAGAAAGGCTGTGTTTGCCTGTGATCAGCAGCACGCCTTTATGTTGTATTTCTCCAAGGACTATGGCCTGTGTAATTCAAACCCTGCAGGGTCCCTGGGTTCTGAAATGTTTGTTATGCGGCTGTTTCTATAATGTGTTCATTGCTGGTTATGCTTTCCTTTCCCCTTCATCCTCTTCTGTAGATGACTCAGCAAGATGGCCCACTCCTCATTCACTAGCGCTTCTCAGAGCCTTCAACGCTGTTCCACATGTCAGACAATTGTTCTCTAGCTCGTGTGTGTGTGTGTGTGTGTGTGTGTGTGTGTGTGTGTGTGTGTGTGTGTCTGCCATGTGAACGGTTCTCCTGTCTTCCCTGTAAACTTTGAAAAGCATTCACTACTCTATAAACTTAGCAGCAGGCATTTCCATGGAGTTTCTATGACTGTTACCATCCCAGAAACGGCGCACCACCTACAGCATGCTACGTACAAACTAGGGTTTCTACCAGTTGCTGGTTGAACACAATACCAGGCAGGCACAAGGGGCCTCTGCCAGCTACTTGACTCCTTGATAACAGTCTATGCACCATCTACTGTTAGTAGGACTTTATCCAGGAAGGGTTTTTCCCCTTCCTGGATAAAGCATTGACGGAACCAGCACACAGGAGGGGCGTGTCTCCTCCACATTAATGATGCTACCAGAACACAGAACACAGGCAGCTAAGCATGTAAGTGCACGTCATACCCTGACTGAACGGGACCACACGGACCAGAGAATCTATGCTCTGTGGTTTGATGCCACCACGCCCCGTAATGACTGCACATTCTACTGGGTCTTCATTTGCAGACCTAACAACCGTTTTAGGAAATAAAAGGACATGAGAATAGGTTACACAATATCCAACAAGTAACCCATTACATGGAAAGGAAACAGAAGGAGACCCTGCCATCTGAGAAAGAGAAGAATTGAGCTGGGCATTGGTGGCGCACGCCTTTAGTCCCAGCACTCAGGAGGCAGAGGCAGGCAGATCTCTGTGAGTTCAAGGCCAGCCTGGTCTACAGAGCAAGTTCCAGGACAGGCTCCAAAACTACACAGAGAAACCCTGTCTCGAAAAACAAAAACAAACAAACAAACAAACAAACAAAAAAAAAACAAGAAAGAGAAGAAAGAATTTATCAACTTAAAAGGTAGGGAGGGTTTCTGATTGTTTTGTTTATAAAAAAATTAGCAGTTCAAAGAATATTTTTATAAGAAAACATTTTATGAGAGAAATGAGAGTTGGGTGTTAAAATATTTCAAACTGTTGGGGCAGAACAAGAGTGTGGTGGTTCACACAGAAATGGCCCATAGACTCATGTATCTGAATGCCTGGCATGAGGGAGAGTCACTACTAGGAAGTGTGTCTTGCTGGGGTAAGCGTGGCTCTGCTGAGGAAGTGTGTGACGAGGGGTAGACTCTGGGGTTTCAAAGGGCAGCCGTACCCTGGGCCTGTCCGCTCTTCCTGCTGCCTGATGACCTGGATGTAGGACTCTCAGCTCGAGCATCACCCCATGTCTGTCTGCTTGATACTACGCTTCCCACCATGCTGATAGTGGACTAACCCTAACCCTGAATGTAAGCCAATTACATGTTTTCCTTTATAAGAGTTGCCATGGTGTCTCTTCACAGCAGTAGAACATTGACAAAGACTCTAAATAGCATGTGAATGTGTTTGGGAGCCATCACTTAGAGCTATGCACTGTGATATCCATGGGCAGACCATGGCCGGGCCTCTCCTGAGGACACACACAGCTCACGCTGACCCTGATGACAGGAGCATGCGAGGAACACGTTAATTCTACTGTCAGAGACGTGCCATGTCCTGAAATATTCACCCAATACCACTGCTGACAGAGTCAGCGTCCCAGCAACAGGGGCTGATAATCCAGCAGAGGGCCCATCTCGAGTAACTTACCACTCCGATTTCAAAGTGTAGTTTGTTTCTAGGTATGTCTCCCTTCCTGGGTCCCAATGACACAGCATATTCTTCCCTTCATGCACAATGCAACTCAGATTTGTAGGTATATCTGGGGGGACTAAAATGAAATATGCATTTATTTATTATCAAAAAGAACCCTTATATACACAAATATTATCCAACCTATATAACACCTAAGACCCACCTCAATTAGATAAACAAACCCAAGATAAAGGTATGGGCAAACAAGAAACAGATTAGTATATTTTTTTCTTCAAACTCTTAAATATATATATTTTCAAGTGTAGCTGTCAATTTATTGCTTTCACATTAGTTTTCTATATAAAAATAAATTTTTATTTATAACCAGATGAGTATCAGTAATGTCTCTACCAAGTATTTTAAAACTAATCACACATAATAAATAATAAAGGGAAGTTACAAGAGCAAAAATGATTCACATATACTTTATTTTACTTTTGTATTTTGGGACAGGGTCCTACTACGTAACCCAGGCTGGCCTCAAACTCCCAACCCTCTTGTTCCACACCCCAGGTGCTGGGGTCTCTGGCATGTCCCAGCATTCCCGGTGCGTTCTGACCCTGGCATGGGAGAAATGTAAACGCTGACTGTTAACTCCTAGCTGGCCCCATCTGTCTGGATCACTGGTTCCACTCTCTTTAAAAACTACTTTTTCAAGATTGTAATTACATCATTCCCCTTCCCTCTCCTCCCTCTAAGCCCTATATTCCCCCCCCCCCTTGCTCTCTTCAATCCGCAGCCTCTTTCTTCAGGGTTTCTCCATTTTCTGCATCCAGAGACATGTCAACTTGAGCCTGTCTCAGAAATAAGGAGGTAGAGGCAGATATCAACAGAAGCCCTGAAATCAGTAACACTCTACCAAAGCATTTCTCAAGAATCTGACAAATGTTTGTCTTTTAGCAAAGACATGGCAGCCATGTTAACTCTTCTGAATTTGTGTGTAACAGTGAAAACATGCGTAGTACTTGTAAATATTTTTATACGAGAAGTATATCCAAAAGCTACTGAACTGAGTCACTGTCCTTGGGAAGGCTAACAGAAACCATTACACATGTAGTTCAAGAGTCTGACACAGAACTCACAGCCTGAAAGGACGGTGGTCCCATACACGTTCTGCTCGATCTGCCCGAATGACAGGATGTTGCAGGTGAGCTGCACACTCTGGAGGACCATGTTTGTGAAGGTGACACTAGATGTGGTTCTGTTGATGACAGTGACCTGCTCCTTGGGAACAGCAGCATGGTTTGTCTTCCATACAATGAAGCTAGCGTTCACATAGTACTGCTGGAGACACTTTTCCTTGAGCACACAAATGGCAGTGAAGTTTGAGCCACGCTGCACAACTGGAAATTCGGGGTAGATATAACCACACGGTTCCACAATCTGACCTGAAAACAAACAGACTGTGCTAAGTGTCCTGAGCTTGCCGGGCACATGTGACGCCTGGCACTGGCACAGGGACAAGGCAAAAGAACAAACCCTGAATATTTCCAGCACAAAATGGTATCTGGAGAGCAGCTCTCAGTGTAGACTCCATAGAGTCATATAAAAATTCTCCGGAGGAAAACAAAATTTAATACCTAAATTTGTAAAGAAATACACAAATTATAACATACAAAGTACAAAAATCACTGAGCCCATGGTCCAATATTCTGACTTTCCTTAGAAAACAGACTGCTTCCAGCATGACTCAAAGCTGCCCATCCTCTACACGCTCCCTGACACAGACAGCTTAAACTAAACTCCAGAAAACAGGTGGCTGTCTTCCCCTCCAGCTCTGAATGCCAGGGAGGCGAAGCTACAGGAAGAGAGGGAGACATACTGTCCATATATCAAAATTCAGACGACAGCAAGTCAGCAACCCAAACCAGAAAGACTAGAAAATACGGGCAAATGTATATGTTTTAACAAAGTAGAGAGGATATGTGTTTTATCCATCAATGCATGGAATAAAATTTTCTATTTAAAATAGAAGGAAAAAGAAAAGAACCAGATAGGATCAAAAAATAAAACCCAATATATAGTTGAACTGTAAGACGTGAGACCATGTGGTATTTGTCTTTCAGGGTCTGGTTTATTTCACTTAACATGTTTTCAGTTCTATTTATGCTGTCGAAAATGAAAGAAATTTCACCATTTTCTAAAATGGAATACTATTCCATTATGAACACACTCATTTCCATTTTCCACTTATGTACCTCTTGGCTACAGGAATGCAGGTCTCATTTCGACATACCAATTTAATTTCTTTTCTGTTATTTATCCAATAGTGAGGATGCATTTGACATGATTCAGACTTGCCTAGGAGACAAACTTCTAGGCATGTCCACGAGGCGGTTTTAGATTGGGTTAACTGAGGCAGGAAGACACACTCTTAATGCATGGGCTGGGGTTCTGGAGTGAATAAGAGGGTAAAGCAAGCTGCGCACTAACATGCATCATTTTCCTAAGTGCACACACATTGTGACCCTGCTGTACCAAACTCCTGTTGCCTTCCCCAGCCCGATGGGACTACCCGCTCAAGTCAGACCTTCTCTGGCTGCTTGTCAAGTATTTTGTCATAACAATGAGAAAAGTAACTATTATATGTCTGCTAGTGGATCCGCCTTTTCATTAAGAGCCTCTGTATTAGTTTTGATAATAGCTGTACTAATATAAAATCCCACCAATAGTGTGCTGGGTTTCCTTTTCTCTACCTGCCAGCATACATACATACATACACACACACACACACACACACACACACACACACACACACACACACACACCCCTTAGATTTTTTTGTGCTAACAGTCTAAGAGGAAACAGGTTGTTCCTTACTATGACTTCCCTGATGATTAGTACTGAGTATGTTTCCATGGAATTATTATCTGTTTGCATGTCTTCCCTTGAGAAATGTCCACCTAGGTCTACTATACCTTTAAAAATTATTTAATTTTTCTATTAAGTAATTTGAATTCTTTGCATGATCAATATTAATCCCTTATCAGGTGTATGATTTGGAGTATTGCCCTATTTGATGAGTGTCTTTTCCCTTGGTACATTTTCCTTGCCACACAGAAGCTAAAGTGTAATACACTCTAATTTGTCTACTCTTGTTTTATTCCTAAGCTTTGGGATCCTGTTCCAGTATCCTAAAGCATTCCCCCTACATTTTCTTCTAGTGATTTCACAGTTTTAGGTCTTGTGTTATAGTCTCTAATCCAGATGGTTGTGGTGTGCATACTCAGAGGCAGAGGCAGACAGATCACTGCAAATTCAAGGTCAACCCAGTCTACACAGTGAGTTCCAGGGTGGCCAGAGTCATACAGGAGACCATGTCTCAAAAGAAAACAAAATAAGCCTCTAATTTGTTTTGAGTTGACTTTTCAAACTGTTGACAAATAGAGAAAAACTGGATATCCAATTATCCTACATCTTGATCCAAAGAGACTACTTTAGTATCTTAGAACCCTTATCAAAGTTTGGTAGCTATACATAATGAAAATACCTCTATGCTCTCTAGTCTTTTCTACTGCTGTTTTTATTCCCACACAATGCTGTTTTAATTACTGCAGATTTGTAAAATATTTTGAAGTCAAGTAGTATAATGTCTTTATGTTTTATTTTGCTCAAGACTACTCTGGGTATTTGGGTGTTTTGTGGTTCCATATCAATTTTAGAAATATTTTTTTTTGTAATTCTGTAGACTGCTTTGAAAAGTACAGAAATCTTAACAATATGGACTCTTAATTCATGCACATGGATTATCTTTCTACATTTCTGTAGTCTTTTCAAAAATTCTTTCATTGGGTGTGGTGACATATTTATGATTAAAGCTTGCCTAAAGATCAGAGAAGCAAAGCAGCCAAGCCTGTAGGTCTTGCCTCTACCCAGCTGACTCCATGAACCTTCAGAGGCAAATAGTTCTGAGTTCCCGTCTCCTCCCGCCTTGTGCTCCTCCCTCTGCCCAGCCACATCACCCTGTCTCCACCTCCCTAGTGCTAAGATCAAAGGCGTGGGCGGGTGTGGGCGTGTGATCTCAGGGGCTGAGACCACCTTTGTGTGAGCTGTGTCTTTTAGGACTGGATCAATTTCGTGCAGATAGAGATCCATCTACTTCTCAACCCTGAGTCCTGGGATTAAAGGTGTGCATCTCCATCACCTAGCTCTCTGGCTGCTGGGATTAAGGCTGTGTATCACCACTGCCTGACCGCTATAGCTTGAGGCCGACTTTGCTTTCTAAACCCTCAGGCTTTAATAAATCATTAATAATATATCACAATTAGGTTTTATAATTTATATTTTAGAGATACTTTAACTCTGACTAAATTTACTTATGTTTATTTGTAAGTAAAATTGATTTTTCAGATACTTTACCATTAGCATATGGAAATGCTACTGACCAATGTGTATTAACTTTTTTAGCCAGCAACTTTTCTGAATTCATTGACAAGTTTTTGTTGTTGTTGTTTGGTTTATTTTTGTAGATTCTTTGGGGTTTCCACTATATAAGACTATGTCATCTACATGAGACAATCTGACATTTTTCCCAATCAAGATGCCTTTTACATTTCCTTCTTTTGCCTGATTAACTGCTCTGGTTAAGTCTTTGTCTTAGTTAGGGAATCTATTGCTGTAATGAAATGCCATAACCAAAATGCAAGTTGGGGGGGGAAAGGTTTATCTGGATTACTCTTCAGCATTGCTGTTCATCACTGAAGGAAGTCAGCACAGGAACTCAACAGGGCAAGATGCCGGAGGCAGGAGCTGATGCAGAGGCCATGGAGGGGTGCTGCTTCCCACAGCTTGCTCAGCCCACCTTCTTATAGAACCCAGATCACCAGCCCAGGGGTGGCCCTCCCCCGCCCCCATTGATTACTAATTGAGGAAATGCCTTACAGCTGTATCAACTGAAGCTCCTTCCTCTCTGATGACTCTAGCTTGTGTCAAGCTGACACACGAAACCAGCCAGTACAGTTTTCAAATATCACATTTAATAGGAATGGTTAGGAATACAGGTAGTGAAAATAGCCTGTATCTTAGAGAAAAGGCTCTCAGCTTCTCTCCATTCAGCACGTTAGCTATGGACTTGAGGTGTGTGTGTGTGTGTGTGTGTGAAATTTTATTATGCTGAAATAGTCTTCCTATTCCTAATTTACTGCTGTGGGTATGAAATGTTTTACATGAAGTCTATCAAATGCACCTAAGGTAACGATACAGTTTTTGCCCTTTCATCTGCCAATCTCACTCATCTGTATGTGGTAGTCTTGTTATCTCTGCAATGCATGTATTTTATAGAGTAAATAATGTGCTATTGAATACTGTTCCTAGTGTTTTACCAAGACTTTCTGTGTCTATGTTCATAAGGATACTGGTATGTAGCTTCTAGATTTGGGTGTTGTCTGGTCTGGTGTTTTCAAAGTAATGGCACAGGGCATTGCTATGTAGTGCAGACTGGCCTTGAACTTGAAATCCTGCTGCCTCAGTTTCCTGAGTGCTAAGATTACAGATACATGCTAGTGTGCTTAGCTCAAGCTTACTACTACTTCTGCTTATTTCTCTACCTCCTTCCATTTATCCAGGCCATATGCCTTGTAGTAGCCTTCCACATCGCTCTGCAGTTTAAGCATCCATGAGCATAAGGCTGATTTCTCGCCAATGCTTGCAAGTGGGTTCTGGGTTGTCTCTTGTCTTATTTGGACATTAGTTTGACATAAAATTTCCTGTCATTGGAAACTGTTCAAAGTGAAGCTGAACTCCTCCCCGTGAAGAGAGCTGACTACAGCAGTGTTTTCAAACGGTCAAAGAGGTCAGGTGTCTTCTTCCAACTGGCAGATTTGGGTTTTTGTTTGCTGACTCCACTGGCCATATGCTCGGCTGTCATAGCTATATCAAACCGTTTCTAGGGGCCCGAGAGATGGCTCAGCGATTAGGAAGACTTGCTGACCTCTGGAGGACTGGAGTTTGAGTCCCAGCACCCACATAGCAACTCACAATCTATAACTCCAGTCCCAGGGTATTTGACATGCTCATTTGGCCTTCCCAGGCACCAGGAACGTACATGGTACATGAAAAGACATATATGCAGGCAAAATACCCATCCAGGTAAACTGTTCAAAAGTTTTCCACATATATATTCTTAATTCTTCATTCATCTCACTTTAGACTACCAGCTCTCCGGAAGTCATCCGGCTAGTATCAACGGTACTGTTTCTACCCCCTTCGTCCCGGTATGCAACCACACTGCTTGATGTCTTTTGAGTAACTGAAGGAAAAAAGTGCTAAGAATTGACAGATTTTTCTCCTATTCCTTTATTTAAAAACATTTTTGTACACCAACTATCTTAATATTACTGAAATGTAACTAATTAGCATTCAGTATTTATGAAACTCAAATGAATGATATAAAACAAATCATCAGAGTATTTGTATCAATGACATTTCTCCCAATAATGACACTAGAAAGAATATATAAATAATTATGTAATTATTAAACATGAGCCTAATTATACAGTATGTAAAACATATAAGCCAAATTGGTGGAGTTGGGACATTTCATGAAGCTTACCTATAGATTCAGTAGTGAGGAAAATAAACAAAGCTTGTGTTAGCCAAATCCTCAGAGCTGACATCTTGCATGGATAGTCCTGTGAAAGACATAATGTGAAATTTAAAAACCCGTTCTTTACACACAAGCTCAAACACAGGCTTGTTTTTCCTGTGCAGCTATTTTTCTGAAAGGTGGTAAAATACCCGTGTGAATGCAGAGAGGGATTCTTTTCTCTGTTCACTAAAGTTATGGCTCACAAAACTGCTCGGTGACATGGAGAGTTAAGGGCCGATCCCACCTTTTCATGGTGTGAAATCATACATACAAGTAACCATGAGATGGGGAAATGTCTGAATGGCAAAGCTCCCTCTGAAGAACCTCAGCAAGGACTGGACAGATGGGAAATTTAGCTCAGTGTGACCAAAAACTGTCCCTGATATCAGGAGGGTAAGTGCAAAGTACTAAAAGAGCTAATACATCATAGAAAAACAGGCACTTTCTTTTTTGAGTAGTCAGTTTATAGGAAAAGGAACACATGTAACTAAAATATTTGAGAAGACAATTTTAAGCTTCTCACAATGAGGTGCAAATTAAAAAGAAGATAGGAATGAAAAGTGGTACAAACACTCTGGAAAATGGTGCGCAGGGGAGTCATTAGCAAGGTAAAAAGCACAGTAAGGCCTGGCATTACACACCTAACAACGTATCCGAGGAACACCAGAAGCAACATATGTCCACACAAAAACATACTCAAATGTTTATTCAGAAAAGTCTCAAACTGGAAACAACCTAAATGTCTATCAACTGGTGACTGGAAACGAAAACCAGTTCGGGCATATTACAAAACAGAGTATCAACAAATGGGAACAAACTACTGATACATCAAGCCCAAGTGTGTGCAATGAAAGGTGCCAGCCACAACAGGTTGCATGAGCAAACTAAGGTGACACAGAGCAGGCCAGGGATCCCGAGGCAGAGGTGGCACTGGGGAGGAGCCATAGAATCTTTTGGGTGATGAAACCGTCGATAACTTGGTTTTGGTGGTGGCTTTATAGACTGTAGGTATTTGTGAAGATCCACTGAATTGTGCCAACATTACAAAGGCTCTGACCTGAGACTACTCTACTGGGAAGCTGATAGTTTGCTGCAGTTTCATGAATACCAGCAAAACATTGTAAGACAGGAGTTAGAAACAAAAGACACGATTCATAGCAGCAGCAGCAATGTATCCATAGCTTCCTTTGCTAACTACCAGCTCATCTTCAGGGTGCTGTGAAGTCAGGTGACACCTGCACACAAGTTATCTTACAGGACATGAAGACCTGACTTATAGATACTCAGGGGAGGGCCCTGCCCCAAATGATGTGACAGACTTTGATGATCCCCAATAGGATCATCCTCCCTGGGGAATGAGTGGGGGTTGGCGGGGGACATAGGAGGATGGGAGGAAGAGGGGATTGAGATTGTTATGTGAAATAATATTTTTTACTTAAATAAATAAATAATAAATAAATAAACCCCAAAGCCTTGAAGTGAGGCTTAAACCCATGCTTTAACGTGAGCAGACACATTGTGGCCTTTTACTCTAGCAGGGGCCATCACAGCTGTCTTTTCAAACTCAAGCGAGCCTTCCTAATTGAAGCAGTGTTTCAGCACCCTTGAGATGATAGCAAGGGTGGGCAGTCAGGGCTTTTGCAGCTAAGACATGTAGTATACAAAAATCATGACCTACACTATACAGACAAGGTGCGCACACCGACGGAAACGGGCACTACTGTCTTCCAAAGGGTATATACCTAGGAATGTTCCACAGATGCCCAAGGCAGGTGCAGTTCCACAGCTCAGGTTCCCAGTATACACAGGGCATAGGTTCAGTCCCCAACAACAAGAAAAACCAACATACAACCAAAAGCTGATGAGAAGCAGCCAGACAAACTGGCAGAGTCAAGTAACTGCGCCAGAGCAATTAGCAAGAATGTACGAACATGCGCAGCCCGGTTAACAGTCACGTGCAATACAGAACTAGAGCAGGGTGGGCCTGAGACTGGGCAGTGCCACGAGGAAATGGAAAGCCCTTTCTTTGCCTAAGGACTAGGAGTATTACTTCCTAATTCTAACTGTCACTGAGAGATGAGGAAGGAGTGTCTACTAAAGCGCCAGACATCAGGGTACAAACGTGCTCGGCGTGGTGTCCTGTACAACTAACTTCGTTTGCGGCTCAGTTTGTTTTAAAATGGACAGTATTCTGCTGGATTTCTCTTTTGATGCGCTGAGAGCAAACATTCAAAGAAAAGGTGTATTCATGTTCCTCTTACTCCACAGCTCTTGCAGAATATGCACATATTGCAAAAATGCTGCGTACAATGACTTCCTTGAATTTGTAAAAGCTTTCTAGGAAGCTTTTACAAAACAAAAGACATGACTAGTAACTGTATGCGCAAGAAAGGCTTATTCAGAACGGGGTGGCTCTTCCGTACTGGTAATTCCTAGATTCTGGCCAACCAACAGTGGTATGCTGAAAGGCATGTCACAAGTGTCTTCCAGTACTGCTCATCACACAGATAATTGCCTGAGCACTCAGAACAAACATGCAGAAACTGCTAGCTCTTTCACTGCACGGCTTTCCTCAAGTGGGAAAAGCAATGCAATTATAACCGATGAATACTTAGTAACTGCACCACGATGCTTTAAATATTTTTATTGCCTACATTGTGACTTTTATATTTATTTCCATTTTTAAAAATCTAACCCAGGGACAAAATAAAGCCTGAATAAGGACTGCATTCATGAGAAAGATATCAGTATAAACTGTTACTCAGCAAGGTAATTGTTGTAACTGCAGAGCCATGTATGAAGCCCAGCTGTCAGAAATAAAGCAAATTGTGTTTACTGGTGAGTTGGGTAGGGATGGGGTGATCTTTACAGAACCTGTTACTCTGAATCCATCTGCCCTAACTACTTAAACTGAGCTAAATGACTCTACAATCATCCAGCTCCTTTCCAGCTCATGCTAACAGACGTTGGACTGTTCTGTCGCACAGAATGCTATCACATTTGTCCTTTCTCCCCATATCCTTGGGAGGCAGATAGGTAGGGCTGGGATTATTTACTGGATTTTAATAGAAGAAAAACAAAAATTCAGACACAAATCACTTACTCAACTCACAGAATTAGCAAATGCAAAGGCATGAATCTGAAGCAAGTCCGCCGCCTCCAACCGCCATGCTCCTTCCATGGGGTCTCTCACCTACTTGGCCAGTGCCATGCATCTGCTTCTTTACTACAATCTTTGAGGACTTCATACTACGCACACACAGGATATTCTGTTCAGATTCACCCCTACTTCTCTGGCTCCTGGATCCACTACACACGTGTTGGGTTTGCACCATGTAGCACATGTTCGAGAACTTCAGAATAAAATAACCCCACAAATACTTGGGTGACGGTATTTAATAACCCAGTGGTTATTACTATGTCTTTATTTTCCCTTTGAGACAAGGTTTTGCTATGTTGTCCTGGTTGGCCATTAACTATTGAGTTAATCTTCTTGCCTCAAGCCTTTGGAACCATTAGGGCCTAAAGTTATGTTTAGTAGTGGTTCTCAATCTGAGGCTCCCAACTCTTTGGGGGTCAAATGACCTTTTCACAAGGAGTCGCCTAAGACCATCACAAAACATAGATATTCATATTATGGCTCATAATAGTAGCAAGATTACAGTTATGAAATAGCAATAAAAATATTTTTTTTTTGGTTGGGAGTCAGCACAACATGAAGTCCTGTATTAAAGGTTTACAGTGTTAGGCAGGTTGAGATCTACTGGTTTAATACATAGTTGAAGCTATTAAAGTCAACAACATCTAATTCAACCCCATTGATGTCTATGTAAGGGCATTTTGTTATTAACAACAGCAGGTCCTTAGAAGGTTGATACCCCTTGTTCTCATCTGAGTTAAAACTGCTAACTCCTCAACTGTCCAGCTATGCTCAGTACTAGATTAAACTGAGAAGTGTAGCTTCTTTTTTAAGTAACATAAAATTTAGGCAAAGAATTGAATCCAGCATTGCCATGTTCTACATCTTTGGTATGACACAAAAACAAGGAATTAAATTTGTAACATTTTTAAAATTTCAAATGAAAAAGGGTGCAGGCATGTAAAGTCTCCAATGAAAACGTTGCTGGATAGTGCTGCAAAATTCTACACCTAAACTCTACATTGTGTAAGTAAGTGTACATTTCTCACTTTAGAAAGTCAGGTCCACAGGGATGAGAGTTGTAACACTACAGACTGGAACTCTATGCACCACACAGGTTAAGTTTTACGGCCTTTGCACCCTCCTTCCCACTGGGCTCTTTCTTGGCCTCTCTGAACTGCTTCCACAACCCTGCTCTCCTGGTTTGTCTTCTCCTTTCTAACATTTGAGACATCTGTAACACACTGGCAAACACTTTATGTAATGAGACTTTCTTTACAAAAAGATAGCAAGCCAGATTTGGTCTTCAGGCCATTATTTTGTCAAGCCCAATTCTAAAATGCCACACATAATGTTATTTTGCTCATTGTCTGTTCAAGGTTGAACTGTGTCCACTTCAAAAGATGCATTCAAGTCCTAACTCCTAGAACCTCAAGATACGGTCCTCTTTGGAAACAGGACCACTGCTGATGTAATTACATCAAAGGAGCCCGAGTGGGCTTGGGTAGGACATTCCAACAACATGGCTTTTATAAGAGACACAGAAAACACCAGACGACAGAAGGCGGAGAATGGAGTAATACAGCTCAAGCTAAGAAATGACAACACACGGCCACTCCCAGCCTCAGAAAGGCTCCCGGCTTTGGGAGAAAGTAACAGCTCTGTAATTGCATTTATTTGTTTGGTTGTTTTTTGTTTTTTTCAGACTGGCTTTACATGTGTAGCCCTGGCTGTCCTGGAACTCACTCTGTAAACCAGGCTGGCCTTGATCCACCTACCTCTGCCTCCTGGGTGCTGTGACTAAAGTTGTGTAACACCATTGCCTGGTATTTTTAAATCACCCAATTTATGATGCTTTGTTACATTAGTTCTAAGAAATGAACACAGTGTGTATATTACCCAAA